GTTGTTGCATGCTCACCTTGTGTGTTGTTGAATACTTGGCCTATCGCATGTGTTGCATGCTTGAATCATAGTGCATTTGGCATGCATTCTCATCTTTGTTTTGATTGCTTAACATGCCACATGTTTTGCATATTTGCATGTTGGCATTGCATCTTGCAAGCTCAATTAGCTTGCATACTTGTTATATGCTTTCCATGCTTGCCACATGTTCATGTTGCCTACTTAGTTTCCACGCCTAGGGTGCATTGCATTGAACATGCATGCCTTGCCTCTTGAAATCAAGTGATAGAGGTTGGGCCTTTATGTGCTTATTTGGTTTGCATTTCATTTGACATGAAAGTGCACAACTTGGTTTCTTGGTCCATCACGCATTGAAATGCGCGATTAGTGGTATGAGAATCAAGTACTATCCCCCTTTGAGTCATAAACATGATAAGGGGTGTATTGGCGCACATATTTGCTTGAAATGCATTGCCATGCCTTGTTTTGCCCTTTACTGCTGTCAAAACAGGTTCTGCAGGAAGCTTTGGCCGGTCAACTACATCAAGTGCCGATCGACCAATTATTGATGGCCGATAACTCCATAGATGGTCAATGACCGCTTCTATTTGGCCGGTGACCATTCCTCGGTGGCATTCCCCAGTGTTCATAAGGTATACCTTGGGAATTGTGCCATTTTCAGAGGAACAGAGCAGGGAAAACAGAGGCAGCTTGTGCATGGCATTGGATTTCCGGGCGAAGCCAATCCGAGCACGCTTGTATCCCTTTTCTCGAGGCCTTTTAATGCTTTCCTTGGCTTAATTGATTTGTTAACTAATTAGGTGGTCTGTAAATTATTTAATTAGTTTGTAGGTTAATTATAGTGTATTATTCTTTTCGTCCCTCTGAGCGAGGGCGAATTTTTAATAAGCGTGGGTGCGTGTGTGCATGTCTTCCAACCCCCACTTCTTTCTCCCTTTTACTTACCTTCTTTGATGGTTAGTATTAGGGCATGTTTAATTTAGCATACTTATGCTATGCATGCATGCATCATTCATCAGTCTTGCATGCACCGGGCTCGGTGCATCATGCTAATCGCATAGTATTTCAATTCCAAACTTGAACACGTGCATCGAGTTGTCGCATTTCACATGTCATCCTTAGATTAGCCGAACCTGTTCTAATGACATTCAGTATGCGTTGCATTAGCCATTTGTTAACTTAAACTAGGATCATGCATGATTACTAACTAGTTCATTGCTTTGGCACGGAGTACGATGTAAGTATTTATGCTTTAGCATCTTATGACAGCATGCTTATCATGTGGCTATGTGCGTATGTGATATTACTACCTGAATTCCTGTGGGTGAAGGTTGGATTGTTTGAGTTGGAACAACTCATTGAAATTCGTGTTTTAGCCTACTCGTGAGTAGCAGATTTCAAATCATTTCCAAACAAACAGATATGCGATGCTTTGTTCCAAATTAGGCAATCTAGTCTATACTTTTGTGCTGTGCACACCACATAGTAAATCTAGGCTAATAACCAGAAAGAACGCATAGTGTTTTCAAAACAAGATATCATGGTTAGTAGAGGCTGATCTTCGGATCGGGCGAGAGGGGGTGCTCATAGCTGACCTTCCCCATTCGTAGCCAAGTTTCCGAGCCGAGGCAACTATGGTGATGACGGACACGTGGCCTTAGGCAAACGAGTCAGGGTTTCCTAAATTCTCCCAAAATAAAATATTTAGGTGGCGACTCTGTATCTGGCAAAGCAGTCCATGTTTGGCACTTCTTTACAAAAATCTGTTTTCCAAAACGATTTGCCGGATTTTGACTCTTTGGTTCAGATTAAGAACCGTGACAATTTGAGTCCAAACTGTAGTTAGCCCAAATGAACAAATCGGGATTTCGCCCCTGGGATGTTCGGTGATGTCTACAAAGGTGTAGATCACCTATTTGTTGGACAGAAGTCAGGGATAGAGCTTTACTTGGGCCTGAAATTGTGCAAGACACTTCTGAGAAAATCATGATCATTCGGCAAAGGCTCAAAATAGCTCAAGGCCGACAAAAGAATTATGCAGATATTCGGAGAAGACCTCTTGAGTATGAGGTTGGTGACCATGTGTTCATCCGTGTTTCTCCAATGAAAGGCCAAGTCAGGTTTGGAAAGAAGGGCAAGTTGTCGCCCCGTTACATCGGACCGTTTCAGATTGTGGAAAGGCTTGGCCCAGTTGCCTATGGTGTTGCTTTGCCACAGGGATTCGAACAAATCCAAAATGTGTTTCATGTGTCGATGTTGAGCGGTTACCACTGAGACCCGCTTCATGTGATTGATTATCACCGGGTAGCTTTGGATGAAAATATGGAATACGCTGAATGGCCGAAACGAATTGTTGATCGGCAAGTGAAGCAATTGAGAAGCAAGTCCATCCCAATGGTGAAAGTGGAATGGAAAGAACACTATGGGACGGATGCTACATGGGAAAAAGAGGAGGAAATGCGACAGCGCTATCCACAATTGTTTCCCGACGAAGGTAAACTAAGTTTGGAGGACCAAACTTCCTAAACGGGGGAAGACTGTGATATCCCTGCTCCGCTATATGTTAATTAGTCCATAATATGAGCATGATTATGTGTTTAATATGATCTTGTGTGCAATTATGTGAAAATATGTAGTTTTGAATTTCTATCTGTTCACCGTAGGAATATCTGTTTGATTATCTGCTTTGGAAATTAAATTGAAGGCCTTATCAGCCACAGAGCCCGAAATCGATAGTGCCATTGTGATTAGCGTAATGTTTAGAGCCTATGGTGAAATTTAATTGAAAATTGATTCAGATAGGATTAAATTGATTTAATTAGTTGTGTTATACTCAATTTATTTAATATTAAAAATTGGAACTAGTGGAGACTTATGTAGAAAGGGCTATGCACTTAATCCTTATGCTTGAGTCCAAAAAATCTGATATTGTGCTCTAAAGAGAGGGGGGAGCCGAACCTAGAAAGGGAAGGAGCTCAACTTAGAGATTTTGCTAGGAAACTTGGTGATCTTGGAGCTACAATCAAGAATCAACCATAATTTGTGAGAAGTAAGGCTCCTAGGTGAGTAACCCACCCTTGATTCATGGATTTTGTTTGTAAATTGTAAATTCAAAGTTGAATGATGAGAAAGAGCATGGATTGAGTTAGTCTTGGTGAATTTAAAGTCAATAGATGCATGCATGTATGTAATTACTTTGAAATTGCATGTTTGAGAACCAAATGTATGATCCATGTGAGTTTTTAGTTGAAATCCATGTTTTTAACCATCTCTTCATCATATGAGTTGAGAATGAGGGTTATGTGTCACATGCATGTACAATCCATGGGAGTAGAAGTTTGAATGTTTGAATTTATCATGTTGGACATGAGTTTGATGTAAGATTGGAACATGTATGTGATTAATTTGTGAAATCAGGCTTCTTGATGTTGTAATTTGGTTTTTATACCATGTTAGTACATATATATATGAAGTTTGAGCCAAAATCATGCATTTAGAGCCTTTGAATGTCGAATTGGAGCTCAAGAATGTGATCTGGAAAACCCAGAATTTTTTATGTCCGCTCGAGCGGGGAAAGTGCTGCTTGAGCAGGAAATTCGTGCTCCCAGTACTTTTGCTGACATGTATGTCCGCTCGAGTGGGGAAGTTCACGCTCAAGCAGGGAGCCATGCAGAGAGGCCTTCCGTTCGAGCGCCAGAGTGCACGCTCGAGCGTAAATTTGACATAACCACTACTTTTGCAGGCCTTAAGGGTTCGCTCGAGCGGGTAAGTCCACGCTCGAGCGGGGACTCGGTTTTCCGAAATTTTGGAAATGCATTCTGTGTTCTGTTTTCTGTTCCCTTTCACTTCTAAGTACTCTTAGCCATGCATTAAGTATTGTAATTAAGTTGAAGAGATAAGTATGAAGCCTAAAGACGAATATGTTAATTAAAGAACGGATTGAATTATTTGTGACCCATATGTGTTATGTGATGTGTAGGGTCAAGCTCTAGGGCAAATCCACAAGCCGATCACTGTGAGTAATATCTTAACAAGATATTTGAAATATACTGTTGTCCAATTGTTTACGTATATGTAAATTTTGTAAGTTCATTAATCTGAATGGTGGACAACGATTGACATGAATGATTGGGCCGAAGGCCGATTGATATGAATGATTGGGCCGAAGGCCGATTGATACAAATGATTGGGCCGATGGCCGATTGACATGAATGATTGGGCCGAAGGCCGATTGATACGAATGATTGGACCAAAGGCCGATTGACATGAATGGTTGGGCCAAAGGCCGATTGACACGAATAATTGGGCCGAAGGCCGATTGACATGAGATATAAATGATTGGGCCAAAGGCCGATACATATAAAAGATTGGGCCGAAGGCCGATAGATATAAATGATTGGGCCAAAGGCTGTTTGCTGTAACTGTTTCAATGATTGCTTATGTATCTTCCTCGTTTGATATTATTCACTGGGCATTCGCTCACGCTCATTCATGTACGTGTAGATGATCCAAGGGACGTCCAAAACTAGCCCCGGTGAAATTGTGAGTAACAGTCGAAGTTTTGAGGAATCAGCCCAAACGTCTCACGCACGAGACTGTCTCCGGTTTTGTCCTTGTTCATAGTTTTTGTTATGTTGACGAAAGCATTGGACTACTTTTGTATATAAGTCTTGGGTTCGACTGACTTAAACTTGTATGATCTTGTATGCACAATGTTCTGTGTTAGTGTATATTTTGATGTGAGTTATTAACACATAAATGTTTAGAATGTGATGGTGTGCATATAAGAACAACTCTATGGATAAAGTTTTAAATTTTCTTCCATTTGGCCCCTTTACTTTGATGAGTTTTGTTTTAAGTGGTTTGAGGCCATAGGTACTCTCGCGATTCCTGGCCGGTTATGGCCTTAACCCATAGGGGCGGGTTCGGGTCATGACACAGAGGCCTAGTTAAGGAGGGTAGAGTGGATATTTTCTATGATGGAAGTATCAAATGAGCAACGAGTTGCACTTGCTAGTCTTATGCTGGTGGAGGAAACTGAATATTGGTGGGAGGCCACGCAACGCCTACATACGGCAGGTGGCACCGGAGGATTGACCTGGAACCAATTCACTAAGGTTTTCAATGACAAGTACTTTCCAGCTACCTATCGGTATGAAAAAGAGAGAGAGTTCCTTCGGCTAGAGCAAGAGGAGTTGACTGTAGCTCAATATGAAGCTAAGTTCATTTCTTTATCTCGTTTTGCCCCTTCGTTTGTGGATGATGTGGAGGTCAAATGTTGTCGTTTTACAGATGGGTTGGACTTGGACATCAAATATCGTATTCGAGTGTTAGGAATAACTAACTATTCGACCTTGGTTGATAAAGCCTTAACAGCTGAGAAAGATGTCATAGAAATTAAGGTAGCGGAACAACAGAAGAAGCGCCACCTTAGTTCATCCTATCATGAGAACATATCTAATAGACCGTCAAAGAGAGGTGGTCATGGTTATGGTTCAGTCAAGAGCTCTAGTGCATATCAAAAAAATAGAGAGCATCCCACCCCAACCCAAAGCATTTCTAATCAGCGTCATGCATCATCTCAGTTTACTCGAAGTGTTTGCAAGCAATGTGGGCGGGCACATACAGGCGTTTGTCATGCTGGTACCGACTTGTGTTTTCATTGTGGCCAGAACGGTCATTTGGTGAAAGAAAATGAGTAATTTGGGAGATACACGAGCTTGCTTCAATTGCGGACAACCCGGACATTTAGCTAGAGATTGCACACGAACCGCTTCATTTGCTAGTACTAGAGTTGGTTGTAATAAAATTTCAAGTGCCGGCTGAGGGGGAGGCCAATGAGGAGGTCAGGTTGGGACTAGGTTTGCCAAGCAGAATAAAGGAGGTGTTCAATCTGATGGACAAACCTCGCAGGGGAGATTTTTGCTTTGACTCAGCGGGATGCTCAGGCTAATCCGAAGGCGGTGATAGGTATTATTTATGTGTTCAGTAGGGAGGCACATGTACTTATTGATCTGGGTTCTACGCATTCTTTTGTATCTCTATCATTTTCTTTGCATGCTGATAAACCTATTGAACCTCTAGGCTATTGTTTATCCATTATTACTCCTATTGGGGATTGTGTTATAATTGAGGAATTATATCGTGGTTGTCTATTACAATTGGGAGACAGGGAGATGGTAGCAGATTTATTGCCTTTAGAGATGCTTGCTTTTGATTTGATTTTGGGAATGGATTGGTTGGCTTCTTACCATGCTTAGGTGGATTGTTATAGGAAAAAGGTAGTATTTTCCAATTTTGGGGAACCTGAATTTAGATTTTGTGGAGATCGATGTGCGTCCCCATCTTATGTTATTTTTGCTATTACCGCTAGAAAAATGCTTAAGAAGGGGTGCCAAGGATACTTAGCCTATGTGGTTGACTCCGAATTGAGTGGTCCAAGACTAGAGGATATACCAATTATGTTTGACTTCGTAGATGTTTTTCCCGATGAACTACCTGGATTACCCCTAGATCGAGAAATTGAGTTTGCCATTGACTTAATTCCTGGAATTACCCCAATTTCTAGTGCACCTTACCATATGGCCCTACCGGAACTTAAGGAGCTTAAGATGCAATTGCAAGAGTTATTGGATAAAGGCTTTATTAGGCCAAGTGTCTCGCCTTGGGGATCACCTGTGTTATTTGTGAAGAAAAACGATGGCACCATGAGATTTTGCATTGACTACCAACAGTTAAATAAGGTCACGGTGCGTAATAAATATCCTTTGCCACGTAGAGATGATTTGTTTGATCAACTTTAGGGAGCATGTGTGTTCTCCAAAATCAATCTTAGATCAAGGTATCACCAACTTAAGATTAAGGAAGAAGACATACCAAAAATTGCTTTTCGAACTCGCTACGGCCATTATGAATTTCTTGTTATGCCTTTTGGTCTAACTAATGCCCCCGCCGCATTTATGGACCTTATGAATAGAGTGTTTCAACCATACCTTGACCAATTTGTGATTGTATTAATTGATGACATACTTGTTTATTCCAAGAGTCAAGAGGATCATCAACAACACTTACGGGTGGCATTGCAGACTTTACGAGAACGGAAGTTGTATGCAAAGTTTAGCAAATGTGAGTTTTGGTTAGATCGTGTCTTATTTTTGGGACATGTGATTTCGAGTGAAGGTATTTTTGTGGATCCAAAGAAAATAGAGGCTGTGGTGAACTGGGATCGTCCTACTAACGTGACCGAGGTGAGGAGCTTTTTAGGGTTGGCAGGCTACTATCGTAGATTTGTAGAGGAGTTTTCATTGATTGCGGCACCATTAACACATTTGACCCGTAAGAATACCAAATTTGAGTGGACGGAGAATTGTGAAAAGAGTTTTCAAGAATTAAAGAAGCGATTAACTTCTGCGCCAATGCTTACTATTCCATTAACTGGTGAAGGATTTATTGTTTACAGTGATGCCTCTCATCAAGGGCTCGGTTGTGTGTTGATGCAACATGGAAAGGTAGTGGCCTATGCATCTAGACAATTGAAGAACCATGAACGCAATTATCCCACCCATGATTTAGAGCTCGCAGCAGCTGTTTTTGCTTTAAAGTTGTGGCGACATTATTTATATGGGGAAAAATGTGAGATGTATACCGATCATAAGAGTTTGAAATATTTATGCACACAAAGGGATTTAAATTTGAGACAAAGGAGATGGGTTGAACTGATTAAGGACTATGACTGCACCATTAATTATCATCCAGGAAAAGCTAATTTGGTGGCCGATGCTCTTAGTCGGAAATTTAAAGAGAGATTAACTCACATTCAGGGCATTCAATTTAGTCTCTTGCATGAAATAAAATCTATTGGAGTTGATCTAGCAGTTGGGAAGTCAGGATCCTTGTTAGCTACAATTAAAGTGAGACCTTTGTTGGTGGATCGCATTCGAGACGCCCAAGGGAAAGACTCAGTTTTGGAGAAGACACGAGCTCAAGTGAAAGATGGTACTCTGTCAGACTTTCTTATTAAAGAAGATGGTGTGTTGATGTTTAAAAATCAATTATGTGTTCCAAATGAGCCCGAGATAAAAAGGGAGATATTAGATAAGGCCCATAATTCACCTTATGCAATGCATTCGGGGAGTACAAAGATGTGCCGAAATTTAAGAGAAAGTTATTGGTGGCCAAATATGAAGAGAGAGATAGCAGAATTTGTGTCAAGGTGTTTGGTATGTTAGCAAATTAATACAGAGCATCAACGCCCAGCTGGTTTACTTCAACCTCTTCCTATGCCTGAATGGAAATGGGAGCATATCGCCATGAATTTTGTTTCGGGCTTGCCTCGCACACAGAAGGGGCATGACTCTATTTGGGTTGTTGTAGATAGGTTGATCAAATCTGCACACTTTTTGGCTACTAAGAAAAACTTTTCACTTGATCGATTAGCAAAAATTTATGTGGATGAAATTGTGAGATTGCATGGTGTGTCGGTAACTATTGTTTTAGACAGAGACTCATGCTTCACATCCCATTTTTGGCCTAGTCTTCAAAATGCCTTGGGTACTAAATTGAGATTTAGTACAACTTTTCACCCCCAAACCGACGAGCAATCTGAGAGGACACTCCAAACTTTAGAAGACATGTTGAGAGCTTGTGTCCTAGATTTTCGAGGTAGTTGGGATGAACACTTGACCTTAAGAGAATTTGCATATAATAATAGTTATCAATCAAGTATTGGAATGGCTCCCTATGAAGCTTTATATAGGCGAAGATGTAGAACTCCAGTATGTTGGGATGAGGTTGGAGAGAGAAAATTGTTAGGGCCAGAGATTGTTCAAATTACTACCGATAAAGTGCATATTATTCGATAAAGGTTGAAGGCGGCTCAAAGTAGACAAAAGAGCTATGCAGATAATCGGAGGAGGGATTTGGAATTTCAAGTGGGAGATCATGTATTTTTACGAATCTCACCATGGAAGGGAGTGATGCGATTTGGTAAGAAAGGCAAACCATGTCCGAGGTATATTGGGTCATTTGAGATACTAGAGCGCATTGGCAAGACTGCTTATCGTTTGGCCTTACCACCTAGTCTATCTCGCATTCACAATGTGTTTCATGTATCCACGTTGAAGAAGTACATGCTTGACCCATCACATGTGTTAGATTTCCAACCAATCCAACTCAAGGATGATTTGTCCTGTGAAGAGGAAGCCATAGAGATTGTGGACATGAAGGATCAAGTACTACGTTCCAAGACTAGACCACTAGTAAAGGTATTGGGGAAAAATCATGCTTTGGAGGAAGCTACTTGGGAACGGGAGGATGATATGAAAATTCGATATCCACATCTTTTTCAAGGTACGAACTAGACTAAACAAATAAATAAATTTCGTGGACGAAATTTCATTTAGAGGGGTAGAATTATAATATTCCCAACAATCATCTAGAGCCAAACACACTCCTATGTCAAACTCCATTTAGGATATCTAAACCCAACTCCAAACTTGATGGTAGGTGTAACCAAACACCCCATTTCAACACAAAAAAAAAAAAAAGTGCATATTTTTTTTTGTTTTTGTTTACATCGTTGGGCATTTAGGGCGGTGCGGCCAAGGATGATATTGTAAGCAGAGGGGCAGTCGACAACAAGGAAGGTGAGTAACTTTGTAGTCTGCCACGAGTATTCACCGATTGTGATGGGAAGATCGATGGAGGTGATAGAGGTCACCCGGTCCCCAGTGAAACCAACTCCTTAAATCCATCCGAAAATAGCACAATAGAAGTACCAACTCTAGATTTTTCTTAATCTTTTGAAGAATCAAAGCATGGGGTTTATTTTCTTGATGGATTAGAGGCTTGTAATTGGTAATAATCTTTCTCTAAATGTTTAGTTTAAGGCTTTACATATTTTGAGTTAGAGATGATGAAATTTTTGTATTTTAGATCTATTATGAATTGGGGTTTGATTGTTGAATTTTATACTCTCAATTAGTTTCTATGAATGTTTTACATGTTGAAAAATAATCAATTTGATGGATGTTTAGGAGATTAAGATTTTGGGTTAATCTAGGGTTTGAATGTGATGTAAAAATTGAGAATTTTGGTGTTAGGAAATTTATATGTTGAAATTGATTTGATAAATGGTGGATTGGGTATCTGTATGTTCTATTTAGGAATTTTATAAATGACTGAAGAGATTTTACTTAAGTTGTTGAGTTTATAAAAAAATGTTGAATTTTGACTTTTGTAGTTATCGATGGTGGTATTGTGCATATAAAATGATTGGATATTTAAAAAGCTACAAACTCAAAGATGTACAAAGGATGGGTGTTATGGAGATTGGATAAGTTATTTTTTTGGGTGACTTGAAGTTGGAGGAGTTCTTTAGCTTGTCATTCCTTAGCATAATTTATTTAGGATCATTTTTGTAGATGTTGTAATTTTCATTGAAAGCTTTTTTCCTAATTTTAGGTCCTATTTATTAATTGTTAGGATTGGAGGAAGGCGTCTCTACACCTCTTGGGAATTAATTTGTAGAGTCTCAATCTACGATTTTGCTATTTTTGGAGGTGAGTATACTTACCATGGAAATTACCTTACCTCTATCTTTATTACAAAGTTTGAAGATAATTTTGAATTAAAGTGAATGATACATTTCATCATGCTATATGTATAAAAAGAAAAATCTATAAATCTATTGAGGCCAATGGTTGAGTTTAAATAAATATATGATTTCATTTGTATAATGAAGCACTAATTTTTTTATGAGAATTTATTTAAGTTGAGTCCTTCAAATTTTATGATGATGATGATTGAATGACAATGAAACATTGTAAAAGGGTATTTTTTGTTTTGATCATATAACCAAATATAGCCTTTGGGGCCACAAGGGCCAAAATGCTTTGGGGTCCTGGGGACCGAAATGTTTTACGGACCATAAGGGTCGTTGTATATATAAGGGGTCCCGGGGACCGAAAAATTGAAATGAGAATTGAAGTGCTACGTTGACATGAGTTATGTTTCTATGGTTATGTTTTGGGTAACGCGACCCTAAGGCTATGTAGTGGTTCGTATGATGGACATGAAATCTTAACGTATTGAAAAGTTGTATTTTTGTTTACTTTCATTATGTTTATTTTTATTTTGTATAAATTTCAGTCCAATTAAGCTCTTATGTTTATTATCATTATTTTGAACCCAATTGGAAGGAGCAAGTTTTATAACTTCATGGTATTGGTATACTCATTGGGCTTTAGCTCATTTTATTAATTAATTTTTTTTTTTCAGATTCATAGACTTTTGTGTGGCTCGCCTCAACTTGGGAGACTAGAATTTTTTTGAAGGATCAGAGGTGGGCATCTTGTAGTTGAGGTTTTGCTTAGGGTCATTCCAGAATGTAAGCTTACCGTTTTTTTTTTTTTAAATGAAGGAGGTTGATTGTAAATAATTGCTTATCAAGTTAGATGTATTGATGGATTCGTGAATACTATGTGTTATTTTGGGGTAGGAAATGCTTGGGAACTATCTTGTGGCATGATAATACTTTTTGTCTTTGAATAGATCACCTCATATATGTTGGTCAATTGAAAGGTCTTATGCACTTTTGGTGATGTGGTGATGTGATGTAAGAATTATACAGGAATTGTGGTGCAAAGGTGCAATAGCGTTTGAGGTGCACCCTCTTGGCGGTGTTTTGCCTTGCCAAGATTGGGTCATTACATTTCTAAATCACCTAAGTGTTCAATTCTCAATTCCAAGAGGATGAATTTGATATCCCTTTCATTTTCACCCTAATTTCCGTTCTTTTTCTGACTTTCTCTTCTACCACTTAAGAAGAAACTCTCTCTAACTCTCTCCATCCTTCTCCAACCTTCACTCTTTTGTTCTAGAAACTAATTAGCTTAGGTAACTATTCATTTCAACAGGTTAAGAAGCCAAGTTTAACTAAAAATAATCTTTCTTAGCCTCCAAGAAGGAGAATATATGGAGTAATTGTAGCTTAACGATGTTACTTTTACTTAAGCAAATCATTTAATGTTTTCTATATCACCAAAGTGTTCAATTCTAATGTCCAAAAGGTTGAATTTGGATTCCCTCTAATTTTCATCATATTTTTCTTTCTTTTCACTAACTTTCTCTTTTAGTTCCCAGAAAGAAAGTTTCCCTCTAACACTCTCCGTCCTTTTCCAACCTTCACCCTTTTTTCTTTTAGGAACTAATTAGCTTAGGCAACAAACAGTTTCATTAGCGTAAGTGGCCAAGTTTAACTCAAACTAATCTTGCTAAGTCTCCAAGAAAGAGATTTTACTTAGTAATTGTACCATAATGATATTAGTTTAACTTAAGCATCTCATTGAAAATTTTCTAAATCATCTAAGTGTTCAATTCTAAAGTCCAACAGGATGAATTTGAATTCCAATTAATTTTCATCCTAATTCCCTTTCGTTTCTCTAATGTTCTCTTCTACCACTCCAGATGAAAGTTTTTCTCTAACTCTCTCCATCCTTCTTCAACCTTCCCTCTTTTGTTCTAGGAACTAATTAGCATAGGAAACTATTAGTATCATTTGCTTAAGTGGCCAAGTTTAGCTTAAACTAATCTTTCCTAGCCTCCAAAGAGAGAGAATATACGGAGTAATGGTAGCTTACCGATATTACTTTTACTTAAGAAACTCATTTAATGTTTTCTAAATTACCTAAGTGCTCAATTCTCAAGTCTAAAAAGTCGAATTTGAATTCACATTAATTCTCATCCCATTTCCCCCTCTTTTGCCAAACTTACTCTTCCACCACAAAGGAAGAAAGATTTTCTCTAACTCTCTCCCTTCTTGTAGAACCTTCTCTCCTTTATTGTAGGAACTAATTAGCTTTGGAAACTATTAGTTTCATTGGCTTAAGAGGCTAGGTTTCACTCAAACTAATCTTTCTTAGCCTTAAATAAAGAGAATTTACGGAATAATCGTAGCTTAACGATACTATTTTAATCTAAGCAACCCATTTCATGTTTTCTAAATCACCCAAGTGTTCAATTCTCAATTTCAAAAGGATGAATTTGAATTCCCTGTAAGTTTCATCCTATTTACCTTTCCTTTCTCTAACTATCTCTTCTAGTTCTTAGGAAGACAGTTTCTTTCTAACTCTCTCCGTCCTTCTCTCTCTTTTTTCAAGGAATTAATTAGCTTAGGCAACGAACAGTTTCATTAGCTTAAGTGTCCAAGTTTAACTCAAACTAATCTTGCTTATCCTCTAAAAAAGAGATTCTACTTAGTAATTGTACAATGACCATATTAGTTTAACTTAAGCATCTCATTTAAAGTTTTCTAAATCACCTAAGTGGTCAATTCTCTAGTCCAACAGGATGAATTTGAATTCCCTTTCATTTTCATCCTAATTTATGTTCTTTTTTCTAACTTTCTCTTCTACCACTCAAGAAGAAACTTTCTCTCTAACTCTCTCCGGCCTTCTCCAACCTTCTCTCTTTTGTTCTAGCAACCAACTAGCTAAGGCAACTATTCGTTTCAATAGCTTAAGTGGCCAAGTTTAAGTCAAAGTAATCTTTTTTAGCCTCCAAGAAAGAGAATATATGGTGTAATTGTAGCTTAACGATGTTACTTTAACTTAAGCAACTCGTTTCATGTTTTCTATATCACCTAAGTGTTCAATTCTAATGTCCAAAAGGTTGAATTTGAATTCCGTAATATTCATCATATTTTCCTTTCTTTTCTCAAACTTTCTCTTCATGTTCCCTAGAAGAAAGTTCCCCTCCCACACTCTCCGTTCTTTTCCATCCTTCTCCCTATTTTTTTTTTCCTAGAAACTAATTAGCTTAGGCAACAAACTGTTTCATTATTGTAAGTGGCCAAGTTTAACTCCAACTAATCTTGCTAAGCCTCCAAGAAAGAGATTTTACTTAGTAATTGTACCATAACGATATTAGTTTAACTTAAGCATCTCATTGAAAGTTTTCTAAATCATCCAAGTGTTCAATTCTAAAGTCCAATAGGATGAATTTGAATTCCATTTAATTTTCACCCCAATTCCCTTTCGTTTCTCTAACGTTCTCTTCTACAACTCCAGACGAAAGTTTTTCTTTAACTCTCTCTGTCCTTCTCCAACCTTCTCTCTTTTGTTCTAGGAACTAATTAGCATAGGCAACTATTAGTATCATTTGCTGAAGTGGCCAAGTTTAGCTCAATCTAATCTTTCCTAGCCTCCAAGAAAGAGAATATACAGACTAATGGTAGCTTACCGATATTACTTTTACTTAAGCAACTCATTTAATGTTTTCTCAATTACCTAAGTGCTTAATTCTAAAGTCCAAAAAGTTGAATTTGAATTCACATTAGTCTTCATCATATTTCCCCCTCTTTTGCCAAACTTACTCTTCCACCAGAAAGGAAGAAAGATTTTTCCTAGCTCTCTTCCTCCTTGTAGAACCTTCTCTCCTTCATTGTATGAACTAATTAGCTTAGGAAACTATTAGTTTCATTGGCTTAAGAGGCCAGATTTCATTCAAACTAATCTTTCTTCACCTCCAATAAAGAGAATTTACGGAATAATCATAGCGTAAGGAAAATAGTTTAACCTAAGCAACCGATTCCTTGTTTTCTAAATCACCTGAGTGTTCAATTCTTAATTCCAAAAGGATGAATTTGAATTCCCTGTAAGTTTCATCCTATTTACCATTACTTTGTCCAACTATCTCTTCTAGTTCTCAGGAAGACAGTTTCTTTCTAACTCTCTCCGCTCTTCTCTCTTTTTTGCTAGGAACTAATTAGTTTAGGCAACGAACAGTTTCGTTAGCTTAAGTGTCAAAATTTAAGTCAAACTAATCTTGCTTATCTTCCAAAAATGAGATTTTCTTAGTAATTGTGCAATAACCATTTTAGTTTAACTTAAGCATCTCATTTAAACTTTTCTAAATCACCTAAATGTTCAATTGTCAAGTCCAAGAGGATGAATTTGAATTTCGTTTCATTTGCATCCTAATTTCCGTTCTTTTTTCTAACTTTCTCTTCTACCACTCAAGAAGAAAGTTTCTCTCTAACTCTCTCCGTCTTTCTCCAACGTTCACTCTTTTGTTCTAGGAACTAATTAGCGTAGGCAACTATTTGTTTCAATACGTTAAGAAGCCAAGTTTAACTGAAACTAATCTTTCTTAGCCTCCAAAAAGGAGAATATATGGCGTAATTGTAGCTTAATGATATTGTTTTTACTTAAGCCACTCATTTAATGTTTTCTATATCACCTAAGTGTTCAATTCTAATGTCCAAAAGATTGAATTTGAATTCCCTTTAATTTTCATCCCATTTTCCTTTCTTTTCTCTAACTTTCTCTTCTAGTTCCCAGGAAAAAGTTTCCCTCTAAAACTCTCCATCTTTTTCCATCATTTTCCCTTTTTTCTTTCAGGAACTAATTAGCTTAGGCAACAAACAATTTCATTAGCATAAGTGGCCAAGTTTAACTCAAACTAATCTTGCATAGCCTCCAAGAAAGAGATTTTATTTAGTAATTGTACGATAATGATATTAGTTTAAACTCAGGCATCTCATTTAAAGTTTTCTAAATTATCTAAGTGTTCAATCCTTAAGTCCAACAGGATGAATTTGAATTCCATTTAATTTTCATCCTAATTCCCTTTCGTTTCTCTAACTTTCTCTTCTACCACTCAAGATGAAAGTTTTTCTCTAACTCTCTCTGTCCTTCTCCAACCTTCTCTCTTTTGTACTAGGAACTAATTAGCATAGCCAACTATTCGTATCATTTTCTTAAGTAGCCAAGTTTAGCTCAAACTAATCTTTTTTAACCTCCAAGAAAGAGAATATATGGAGTAATGGTAGCTTAATGATATTACTTTTACTTAAGCAACTCATTTAATGTTTACCTAAGTGCTCAATTCTCAGCCCAAAAGTTGAATTTGAATTCCCATTAATTTTCATCTTATTTCCCTTTCCTTGCTAAACTTTCTCTTCCACCACCAAGGAAGAAAGATTTTCTCTAACTCTCTCCATCCTTGTAAAACCTTCTCTCCTTTACTATAGGAACTAATTAGCTTAGGCAGCTATCAGTTTTATTGGCTTAATGGGCTAGGTTTCACTCAAACTAATCGTTCTTAGCCTCCAACAAACAGAATTTACGGAATAACCGTCGCTTAACAATAGTAGTTTAACCTAAGCAACCCATTTCATGTTTTCTAAATCACCTAAGTGTTCAACTCTCAATTCCAAAAGGTTGAATTTGAATTCCCTGTAAGTTTTATCCTATTTACCTTTCTTTTCTCTATCTCTTTTAGTTCTCAGGAGGATAGTTTCTCTCTGACTCTCTCTGTCC